TTTCAGTTGGTAGCCCTTGATCTCTTTTAGTTATCGTTGAGTAGATATGGCGAGAGTGCACAACCTTGTGCCCAGTTTTAGTGAATGCTTTGAGCTTCTCTCCATTTAACTTGTTAGCTACAGCTTTGGTATAAATTGCCTTTATTCTGTTGAGCTGATCTTAAAACTTCTACCTAGAAATTCCTAAAACTGATAAATTATTTAAAAGCAATGAGTAGAAATATGTTTTAAAGTTTTGTTCAAACTATCAAAAATGCAATGAATATTTGTGTGTGTATATAATAGACATATATGTATACATAAATTTACACAATATATACAATATATGTACATACATCTCTGTGTTACTAGTATTTGGAGAAGAATTAGTTTTAAATATTCACTGCATGTATCATAAATTCTTCTAAGCTATATATGTGTTTACACTCAATCTTGTATATATTAATATATATTATGTATTTTAAATAAATACAAAATAATATAAGTATAGTAATATAATAATATATAATAATATATTTCTTTTTTAAACCTTCCTTGGTGTTATATCACCTCCTCCTCTGTCTATTCACGCTGCCCTCCCTTAATTAAAGTCTGCTCCTCAAGTTTTTGCCATTCCTTCTCATAGCACTCTGTCCAACTTTGTGTCTTTAGTAGTGTTATTCTATCCACCTCAAAGGTCCTTTATATTTTCCTGGATTCTGCAGTTGTTACAGGTTATATATGTTTATCTAAAGATTTACATCAAGAATCCACAAATAAGAGAGAATATATGGCGATTGTCTTTCAAGGTCTGTGTTATGTAGTATAACTTTTTCTATCTCCATTTGATTATCTGCTATTTTCATGATTTCATTTTCTTTACAGGTATGTGCAATTCTGTTGTATATACGTACCATATTTTCATTATTCATTTATTGAAAGATATTTAGTTTTTTTCATTTCTTTAATATTTTGAATAAAATAGCAATGAACATATGGCTACAGTAGTTATCTGTGAAGTAGGATGGCAAGTTATTTGGACATATGTCAAGGACTGATGTATGTGACTCACATGAAAGATCATATCTACTTTATCTGATAATTAATTCTGCACATTGATTTTCATAGTGACTGAACACTGGAGAAAAGAACATCTTGACCAAATGGTGCTGGATGTCCATGTATAGACGAACAACAAAGTTAGACCTGTATGTAGTATCATGTATAATAATAAACTCCAAATGAATCAAAGACGTTAGGTGAAACCTGAAGTGCTGAAATCGGTAGAAGAAAACATAAGCAGTACCCTACAAAATATAGATGTGGAGAAAGGACTTTTGAATAGAATTCCATTCACTCCAGGATTAAGTTCACAAATGGCACCTCAGGAAACTGAAGAGTTTCTGTACAGCAAGTGAAGACGAAGTCCACAGAGTGGGCAAGAATTTTTGCCAGCTGCACATCTGATAGAGGACGTATATTCAGAATACACAAAGTACTAAAAAAATAAGAGAAACAAATGGAAGGAAGGGAGGGAGGGATGGAAAGAGGGAGGAAAGGAAGGGAGGGAAGGAGGGAGGGAGGGAGGGGGGGAGGGAGGGAGGGAGGGAGGGTGGAGAGCGGGAGGAGAGAAGGTAGGGAGGAAGGGAGAAAAAAAAGGAAAGAGAAACAAAAACAAGGAGTCAAGGCATCCAGTGACCCAGCTAAAAAGTGGTCGCTGGATTTGAACAGACAGTTCTCTAAAAAGAAATAAAGATGACTAAAAAATGTTGAAGATACTTAGTAATTAGGGAAAAAGCAAATTAAAAATACTTTGATATTTCCTCTTATTCCAGTGAAAATAGTCAAGAGTAGCAAACAGCTGACAGCAATGCTGACTGAGATGCTAGGGAGGGGACTATCATTCACTGTTGGTCAGTTTTGGCTGTCAGTATGGAGAACACTTCCATTCCGACTGCTAGTCTTTGCCAGAGTTCAGTGACTCTGATACCATTTCCTATAACCTCTGGGCCTTTCTTTTGCCCAATAAAATATTCAGGATTTAAGTTCTGTGTATTGGAATTATTGAGGAAATTTCCCAAGTGTCTTAGCTGCTGTGCAGGTAGGTCATGTGGTCTCCTTTGCCGTCCCTCACCAGACCAGCAGTTCTTCACTGTACTCTCTAAATGTCGTTATTCCTAAGCTCCTTGAATGTTTATTGGACAATTTAGAACAAAAGAAAGCTTATAGCAAGCACAGAAGAGTGCAAAGTTTTGTAGTGGGTTCTTTTTATTGCTCAGTTTTTCAACATCCCTTCCACTAGGAATTTTTCTTTGTTCCTTTAATCTGCCTTGCTTTGTGGAAAGTAATGCTTTGTGATTTAAAGTCAACATCTTTCGAATTAAAGTTATGTTTAGTGGTGCATCATGAAAGGACTAGATTCTGAAGAAGGAGTTAGGAAGTCAGCGGAATTTCCTAAAGGAATCCTTACACTTCAAAGTAATTTTTAAAGGATATGTTTCTGTTAGTAAGATTGGGAAAGGGCTATTCCAGTTCCAGACATTCGCAGTTGGATATGAAAGCTGCCACTGCATTGCTTTTTTAAGGCTTCTAAAAACATTTGAGCTAAAAGCAAAATGTTCACTTACCATGTCTTTCCCTTCTAATGCTCCTAATTGACTTGAATTTGGTTTGAATTTGAATATTGTTAGACACATACAGGGTTAACCTACTTCGTTATGTATGTAATATTTGCAGTATATACTCTTATCATTTTAATGATTCCAGTATAAATTTAAATTACACAGGAAATCTAAACCTTTAGGTAAATTTGTGTGGCCCATATTTTTAATTTACCAATATTTATATTTAATTTTTCATGATTGTATGAAGTGATGGTAAAGCAGGTACATATGAAAATCACAGAAGCTTGTATATGGCTTACATACACATAATCGCTTTACTAGTGAAATATGTTATTCCTGGGATATTAAATTGTAAATAGGAAAAAATATTGTTTTCAGGCACATTGAACAGTGAAATATTTGTTTTATTCATTTATTCATCTATTCAATGAGATTGATTTTGAAATGTAAACTTATTTTTATTTGTGGTATATTTATATTGTTAACTTACACAAGACTATTATATATTACATATGTCAATGACTATATGAATCATATAGCAAATGTGGTTCTCCTTAGGGCTGGAGAGATCTCAGTAAAATGCTTCTTATGTAAGGATCAGAACCTGAGTTCCAGTCCTCAGCACCCATACACAAACTAGTGTGGTGGGATGTGCCTGTAATCTGAGCCCCAGAAGCCAGAAACAGGGCCGGCCAGGTGCTTCCTGGCCAGCCAGCTTGTATGAATAAGTGAACAACAGGTTTAATGAGAAACTCCGTCTCAAGACATACTCAAACATGCAGAATGGAATCTCTAATCAGTTCTGTTACTGACAAGATTCATGACCTTGAATTCAGTTACTTCTAGTCATTTTCTCATCTGTAAAATGAAAGTTTCAACCTTCTTATTTTCAAACTTCGAAACATTTATAATTTAGAGATTCAAAAACAAAATAATATCCAGGTCAGCAAAGAATCTGGAAGTGTATGGCTCACCATTCATTTAGGACTTGCATTGTCTCCCGGCATTGACTAAGCATGAGAAAACAAACTGTTAGAGAAGGGTATTCAAACCTCTGTGTGAAACAGCTTAGTCAGAACTGGACAGTTTCTTTCCAAGTGAGCCACCAGGTCTTAAAACTATCAGTCATCAGAACCCGGAAATAAGTATTGTCCACCTTTGTAGTATTAGAACCCAACTACATTGTTTTCTTGGTTTTATTTATTTCATTTTTAAAATTTAATAGTCTATTTTATGTTATTCATATAGCATGAGTTTTAATTTCTGTTGGTTTTGTGTTTTGCTGCATAAAGTACATCATATTAATCATGCAAGAGGTAAAAGGAATGTGACCTAAGGAGAAGGTGGGGTTGAGGGAGAATTGTGCTTTCGAGACAATGGAGAAAATGATGCATTGTAACAGGTACAAAGGAATGTTCCTTCCAAATATCTTTGACCTGGAAACTATAATAATTCCATATAGATTCTCTGTCCATGAGTCTGTTCTCTGCATGGACTGTGCCCATCAGATCTTGTAAGACTTGGGATGGGCATACCTTCTTTTAGATATAAGTGATTTGTGCCATGGAAGGAACAAACAGTGTGAAATTGGATTAATCCAAGTATATAGTAAAAGTACAATGTATGAATTGTTATATATTAAAACTTCTTTTCCAGAGCAGGTTTGTAGTGTTTGACAGGTCTGCTGGTTTTTATGCCAGTTCCCGAACTCATTGTGTTCCTGTCATGTTGCTAGTACTTTGTATATCTCTTTGAATCTCCACAGCAACCATATATATGATACAGATAGGAGATAGAAACTAATTTCATTCCTATTCTGTGAGTGAGGAAATGAAGAATTTACCTAAGATCACATACTTAGAGTATGACTGAAGTGCATATTGAATATAAGCCATCTTAATTTTCATATGAGACTTAGCCAAGCATGGCAGATACTTCTTATGCTACCAGAGCTAATACAAACTGCAGAACACGTTTATAGTTTGCAGTTCATCCACCAGTGAAATTCTTTAAGAATATTTTTTCTGCTGTGTGTGGTGCGTGCCTTTAATCCCAGCACTCGGAAGGCAGAGGCAGGCAGATCTCTTTGAGTTTGAGGCCAGCTTGGTCTACACGAGCTAGTTCCAGGACAGTCTCCAAAGCTACAGAGAAACCCTGTCACGAAAAACAACAACAACAACAAAATTGCTATGTTGATTTCAAAGGAAACTTACTAATTACAAGTAAAGTAGCTTCTGGGTAAAACATGATCTTTGATATAAAACATTACAGTCTTTTATCTTGATATATTAGCACTGAAGACAAGTTACACTACTTATTCTGGCATTTAGACTTAAAATATTAGATGAAATTTAGTATTAAAGGGAATATTTGGATTAACATTTGGTTTTCCCACAGCTAATATTAAACTCGGATTGAATTAGAGTTTTAACTGGACTTCCTTGATGTGTTATGTATCCATATTCAAAGGACTATCACAGGTAGTTATCGATTTCTTTTCAGTTAACCGTTAGTCGCCATTATTTTGCGCATAGTTGAGAGTTCTACATATTTACATTATGAATGGTTACTGCCACTAGAATGTATTTTCCCAGTACTGCTTAATGTTCAAACAAAGTATCCACCAGATTCCCAGTGTGCCCTTCACATGGAGACAGGATTTTCTCTTTGGCCAGAGTCCAGCTCTTGCTATCGCTTCCCATATGTTGATAAGTACAGAATTTCTCTTAGCATTGTTTCCCATTATATTCCTTTCCTTGTAGAAGGAGTTTTGTTTTCACTTTCTTTGTGTCTGGTGAGTTTGGCTTGGTAGCTCTCCTCAGCACTGCTTTATTTCTCCATGTGCCTCTTTTCACTTTCTTGTTTCTCAGTGGAACTTAGAAGCATTAAACACATCCTTCTAGTGGTTATATGAAAATGAACCTTTTCTGATGTGTAACTATGTAGCAGTTTTGTGTCATCTATACAGCTCTCAATATGTGAAGAAATGGTAAACTTCTGTTTCTACCATTGTTAAAAAATAACATCACTTCTAACCTCTAAGCCCTTAAGTTTTCTCCCCTCAAAATCAAGACAGAAAGTTTGCAAATAATGTTAGCCATGCATTTTTAATAGTCTTTTTCCAAGGAAGCCAGTGGAGGGATGAGATGTAGTTGCATGTTTCCTCAGGCATTGTAAAATTGCCATTCTCAGGGATGTAAGCAGCACACTGCTATTTTTAAATATAGTCATTGATTAAATACATTTTCCTTTATGTTTAAGCCATTCTTTTATACAGTAGATTTATTTTGATAACCATAACTATTACCAATAGCACAAGAAGAGGCAACTCAATGTTCAAAAGATAAAATATTCACTTGTAATCAGTGAGAACCTGCCCAAGACCATGGTATTTAGAGTAAGGATTTCTGTCTCTTTGTTATTTGAATCTACTGTGGTGTTATTAGCATGTTTCATAGGACATAGTGCAGAGCTGCTGTGATCTTTAAATGTTAATGCTGTTTTCTTATCACTTTACTGTGTAGATACCCTTCATGAGACCCAACTCTGCCACAGCTCATCCTCGGAGGCAATCCCGGAAACCTCTTTTATAAGTGTGATTTAAAAAATGTGGATAAAACTCTCAATAGAGCATATAACTAAAGGAGAACAGCTATCTTGTCCTTCCCATAAGCTTATCACTGCAAAAAAGTGCTTTTGCTTGTCAGGTTTGGATAGAATGTAATTGATTGGTCTGTTATATGGGTAGACAAGGCAGTTAATTTGCCTGCAGCGAATTTTTTTTCTTTTCCTTTTTTTCTATTTTCTTCTTTCTCCCCTTCTTTTCTTTCCTATTTCTTTTCTTTTTTTTTTTTTTTTGTAACAATACTCAAACAGTTGGTGTACGCATTATTAAAAACTACAGTGGGTAATGTCTTGTCAAAATTGTTTTAGTGGGTAAATAAATGTCTTTCCCTCTTGCTTCTTTGGCACACAACGATACAGTATTTGGACTCAATGAAGACTGAAGGAAGCCAGTGGGACTTACATGCTCTGTGCTTCCCTGTGCTTGAACAATTATCTCCGTTATTTGTTTGTAAAAGGACAATGCTTGCCACTCATCTGCAAGTCTGTATCAACTTATTTTCTTCATGTATTCAGACATGAAAGAAATTCTGCAATGAGAACAACTCTAGGTTCAATTTTACTATTATTCCTATTTGTGGTATTCAGCACCAGTGAAAGAGTGGTGAAGAGTCCGACCTTCCGCTGTTGAGTAGTACGGAAGCACTCGCTATCAGCATGGACGTTTTAGGACTAGAACTTAAGCTCAAGTAACCGTACTATACTGTCTGTGTTAGTCTGTAGGTGCTCTTCTCAGAGTTACCACATTCATTCCTTATTGTTTTATTTGATACGAACTCTGTGTGCTCCATATAGTTTTACTTTTTTGAACTCAAATGCGAAGCTGTGAAATGAGGGAGATACAGAGCTTGTTGACTATACAACCCGCCTGCTGAGAGATCCTCACAGCACCTGTGCCTCCTCAGAGGTGTACTGAGCTTGCCTTTGATCTTCACGCTTTACTGGCCCAGTTCTCAGTCAACGGCAGAAATACTTTGAATATTGTACCACTAAATCTTGAACTGATTTAGAAGAGACTGCTGAAATTGAAATGTACATACACATGTAAATTGTCAGATTGTCTCTTAGAATTCCATTGTTTATCATTGTGGGTTTGGATCTTTCCAGGTTTCGGGGCATTTGGAATAGTTTAAACTGTAGGAATAGAATAGTAGCTAGCCAATGTATGTGTAATGCAAAGTCGGTGTCTCTAGTAATCTGTAGTAATAGGAACCATATCATTGGATAAAATGTTTATTGCACATGTAGGAAATAATATATAAATATGCTATTTATTTATTGGCAGATCTTATGGCACTGGAGAAAATATCCTTAGGAAAAGCATTATGCTTTCTTTAAATATAAGGAAGAACCAACTGTCATTACTTAATTTATGGAAAAGTTGATGAACTCCAGCAAATTTTATAAAAAAAATGACAGTGGCAGATTAGCATTTTTCAAATGAACTGTGCTTTAGCCCAACTGTCTTTTAGTATAAGGCAAGAAAACATTAATGGATATTTTTTAACTTAGCGTTTTTTCCCCCTCTTACAGGTTTCTGGTTTTTGATTTTCCTGAAAAATCATAGGTAGTGTAGTTGCAATGACAAGCCCTTTCATGTTGGTTAAACTGTAAAATGTCTAATTACCGTCTTCATATTTTAGTTTTCAGTGGTAGATTTTGCTCTTCCAAGTTTGGTAAACAACCCATGTTACATGTTTTACATGTTACAGATAGAAGTTGCACAGTTCCAATATGATAGATTCTTAAGAGTCTCCAAATCTGAAGAGAATAGAATGAAATGTTTCCCTTAGTAAACAGTAGAAAGTTAACTTTTGCCCATTGCTATTAAAGTTGAAATGATTATTTATCTAAGAAAATATTTCAAAATGATTTATATCTCATAAATATGAGTAAAAGGATGACAGCTCAGGTATTCGACAGTTATTTGCCACAGAATAGGAACTGGAAAAAGCATTGCAATAGCAGGAAGGCTCTGGGAGAATACTTACTTGGTAAAATGTGTGTAAGCATGAGGACCAGTACTCAGTGAACAGCCAGGTGTACTGGCTCACTCTCCTAATCTTAGAGAGTGCTAAGGCAGGAGGTTCTCTGTGGCTTACTGGTCAGCCACTGTGCAGACTGGGCAAGTACCAGGCAACTGAGAGACCTTAGCTCAAAACACATAGTTGACAATTCTGAAGCAGGAAGGCAGACCAGCACACACCACGGGTACATATACACACACATACACACACACGCACACACCAATCTACCTACATGGTATTGGGAAGGAAATTAAATGCCTCTAAATACACAATGGATGATATGGTAGTGATGAATCAGAATCACAGAAAGCATTTGTTGAGGCTTTGTTGGCTATCATCATCTCCTTGCCCTCCTGTTCCACCAGAACTTCTGTTCTCTCTGCCTCTCTGAAGTTTTTAATCCTGTAGTTTTCTGATAAGATGCAAAAATATGAATTTGTAACATGTTCAAAATAATGTTGATTCAACTAGTCAGGGACATTACTTTGAGAACAATTAATGTAGTTATTTGTTTAAAATCATATATTCAGTATTGATTAACAATGAGTGTGGATGTCTTTAAGGGGCTGAGATTTCTCAAAATATTTGTTTCCAGACAGAAGGTTTGTAGAAAAGTAATTTATTCCTGAACACATAAGATGCAGCTTTTTTCATTTTTAAAAATTCATTTAAATATTTATTTTACAAATAGAGCAATACTGTATGCCCAAAATATCATCGACTTTTTGCTTTTTGTTTTTTCTTAAGAGTTGGGATTATGTAGGATATGAAAATAATATTTGAGTTATAAATTTGGATATTTATGCATCACTTATGTATCATTGTAGTTGTGTTTCCTGAATGTTTACCCAATATTATATGTGACATAAAAATAGATGTCTGACAGATAATATTTATTTTGTTGCCCTACTTCCCGGTTTGTACATCCTATTTCTTAGTGAAACACTTTTTAAGGTCTCAAAGTTAAATAAACACACACATCATTGATACGTTTTACTTAACTCACAGTATGGAAATATTTTACCAAAATCTGTTTAGGAATTCAGGACTCTGTAATATATTAGAACATTAACAGTTTTCAAAATATTTTTAGCTTCTGAAATTATTTTTGGCTAGTGAAAACATATGGACTGATATCGACAAGATATATGAAGGCAGAATTTATCCATATAGGCTGAACCATTGCTTTGTAAATTTAGATACCAGTAAGGATTGTAAAAAAAAAAATCAGAGACTGGTTTTACAAGTGATTTTTTTTTTTATTAAAAAAAAAATGTAGGTGTCTTTCCTGTAGTGATTACCCTAAGGTGTTGTGTAGACCTGCAGTGAGATGACTGCTGTTCAGGTACATAAGATGTAATGAAATTGAATATTCACGCTGGGGTGGGTAACTAAAATGAGGCCAACCCCTAGCCATTATCTCATTTACCTGATTTACATTGTAGACTCAGGATCTACACTATTGATTGGAGTATAATTAGTTAATTATGAACGGGGAAATACACAGTTTTGTGGCGCTTGAACACAGCAGGTTATAATGCTAAAATATTTTCAAGGGCATTAGCAGATGTAGATCAGTTTATTAAAGAACAAAGCAGACGTGTTTCAGGTATAAATGTCGAATCATTCTCTCATGCTGTGAAGAGATATTTGGCCTTATTGTGTATTTTCATAGGAATTGCCTTGTTTCATGTTCTGTTTTTAGGTTTTATTGTTGGTTTTTTATTTCACTTTTAAAATTACAAGCTGGCTGTTAGCAGATATAGATAATGAACTGAATCCACTCTTTAAGTGGTCTTGAATTATGCTTTTCCTAAATTGTTTCAATTTGTCTATAGTCACCTGTAATGAAAAATTATAGTCTATCCTACCACCCCCTCTTTCACTATTGTCTGTGAGAGAAATCCCCAGTAGCATTAATGAAATAGGTTCACGTGTTCCACATTGGTTTGAAATTTGTGAAATATTATTTAAAATACATTTTTCTAGTCAATCTGTATAGAAAATGCTTGTGTAGTGGCTTACACTAAAATTGTTAAATATTACAAAGGATAAAATATTGTAGTTATAAGTGTTATACCATTGATAGAATGTAAGAGTTTTGTGACAGTTCATATTATTTAAAATTTTTAAGGGGCCTCGGTTTACACTGTAAACTGTTTACTGAAATAACCTATCATTGTAGTTGCTAAATTTGAGTTTGAATTGCTAGTAAGGTTTTATTTAAGCAGTGTTAATATTCAAAACTAATTGATAGGAAAGTCAGAACTCCTCACCCCATTTGTTCTCTTTATACTCTTATTTCTAAGTGAAAAATGTAATGTTATGTAGTTTTACAGACAGTTCTTTATCCAGCATTGTATAGACTAGGAAGGAATGCTGACTTGTTGGGGGAGGCTGCTTGTTCATTTCCCAGCCGCCCAGACTCCCAAAATAATCACACAGAAACTTTATTATTTGAATCACTGCTTGGCCAATCACTTAAAGCATATTGCTAGCTAGCTCTTATATCTTTGGTTAACCCCTTTCTGTTATTTTGTATTTTACCATGAGGGTCATGGCCTACTGGCAAGGTTCCAACTGGCAGCTCACATCTTTCCCCTCTGGAGGCTGCATGGTGTCTCCTGACCTTGAGGTCTTTCTCCCAGCATTCAGTTTAGTTTTCCCGCCTAGCTCCACTCTTCCAAGTCATTGGCCAAAGGCTACTTTTTTATTCATTAACCAATAAAAGCAACATACATACAGAAGAACTTCCCACACCACTGAGTACTGTGGTTATTAAGGTAAAAAATATCTACAATGATCAACACCAGTGTGATCCTACAACAGTACATTTCTTTTAATGTCTGAACCACAGATTTTGTTCTTTCCAAGGCCAGTTTATCATGTAGTCTTAGACTGTTTGCTTAGGCGATGTACTCACTTATTTCCTCTAGTTATTTTTAAGTAGTTACTTAGTGTGTGCCCAAAATGAACTTATTAATTGGAAGTTAAGAAAGGTAAATAAATCCTTTAGGGCAGTAGTCCTCAACCTTCCTAATGCTATGACCATTTAATACAGTTCTTCATGTTGTGGTGACCTCCAGTCATAAAATCATTTTTGTTGCTACTTCATAATTGTATTTTGCTACTGTTAGGAGTTATATTGTAAATATCTGTGTTTTTCAGTGGTCTTAGATGACTCCTGTGAGAGGGTCATTTGATTACTAAAGGAGTCATGACCCCACAGGTTGAGAACCACTGCTTTAGCGCTTTGATTGACTTGCCTTTAGGTACAAGAGAAAATAAATCAGTTACATATTTTTGTTTGTTTCCACATTGTCAATAGTCACTCAACACCCAACCTAATGCTTGTGTGGATCTTAGCACTCACAAAGATCAGTCCATTTTCTCTGCTTTGTCTAGGGTGCTATACTTAATCATTATGCTAAGTAAGTATTTTAATACAAATAGAGCTGTGTTTCTTTAATCTCTCTGTTTTGCTAAATCAGTTTGTAAAAGACCATATAGAGCTTCTCTGTCATTAGTCTCTGTATATCAAATATGAATGTAGTATGTAGGAAGTTGTATTTCATAGGTACGTAAGTAATTAGTTTTTGTTTTACATTATAAATTGGCTTTGTTTCATTTCATTAAGCTGTAAATTTTAGGATACTCTGTAGTCTAATGTTCACAATATTTATTAGATGCTTTAAACATACTTTAAATGTTGGGTTTATATTTTATTTAAAGATACATTCTTCATATTGCTAGTTTTATATTCTCTTTTCATGCTTAAGGTACTGCCTTCTTTTTATTAGAATGTGCTATTGGTATAATAATGTTTTATTACATACACGTTTGTTTTGTTTAATAAAGTATGTTGTGTTATATCACAATACTTTTGTGGGTCATTAACTTCCTTTGAAAACTTATTTTTATTCATTTATCTTGACAAATTAAGTATGTGTATTGCTACAATTGAAATGTTTTCAAGTACTTAATAAACGTAGAAACCAAGTAAAATTGATAAAGTAACTGTTTTTACCCTAATATAGTTTTCAGGGTATAACCATTATAGACTTAGTTTTTGAGCTTTAAATATATTTGAATTTTCTATGTAGCCAAAATTTGCTAGTTTCTAAATTTTGATAAAGATTTCATAGTGACGTGTGTGCATGTGATGTATAGCTTATTATTTTAGTCTTCTATATTCTGTGTTTTGAGAATTTTAATGATAACTCTAAAATTTATCAATGGCCTTTTAGTTAATGCAAATTCTGCTAGGTGTAACCTCTGATGTTTAGGATATAATTGTTACCAGTAACCTAAAATTATGATTTTATTTTCATTTTAACAGAATTAATGAATTTTTCTATATGCAAATAACTTGTAAAATTCCTTTTTATATTTATTATTTACTTGGCAAACCTGTTAATTTCAAATGGGGTGTTTCTCTCTGTCTTTTTCTTTCTGTCTCTTGGATTTTGGTGGTTGCTAAGGGTAGAGACCACTGCTTTATGCTATTTAAACTTGGAGTTGCAGCTTTTACTTCCTGGTGAGTAAGCAAGGACCTTAGAGAACTATCCTAACACTCCCAGTTGTCCACCATCATGAAAAAGACGTCCTGAAATGGACCCTGATGAAGGTATCAGGAAGAATTAGGTCATCTCAAAAGAGCAAATGCTTCACAGCATCTTCTGAAAGAGCTACCAATACCAGAACAGGTATTGGATCATTTAAATTTTTAAATGTATTTTTAGATGCCTCATTTCAAACATTGTCACTTTCACAGTCTTAATACTTTTGGTGGTCTGAATTCTACACAAGATGTTTCTTTAAGAAAATTGTTGTAAAAAATATGCTGATAATATAAGGAGACAATGGCTGGTAGTTTTTAAGCAAGTACGAATTCTGAAAATTTGAATGTAAGGGATCAGGCAAAACAGCAGCTGAATGATATACTTTTAACTACAGAAATTTGACAGAGAAATGCAGTACCAACTGTAATTCCGACTGATGATCCCAGTGTATCAAACGAGGAAAAAATATTTTATGTATTCCAAATAATGATATGAACCTAATAATGGTATTTTTTATAAACTTCCCATCAATCAAGGGTTAGTGGCATATTAGTCCCTGTACTTGAACAGTGTTCCCTTCCTAACTACAGCTCTGGACCCTCTCTTCAGCTTAGAAAAAGCATACTTCAAAGGTTTCTGTCCCCAGTATTTAGTGGAATGGACATTTTAGCTGCTGGAATGTAAATTAGTTCAATTGAGAAAGGAAGACCCTAAATTCTCTATGCTTACTATATGGTATTCTTATTTTACATTTGAAATTAGGTATATAATCTTATTTTTTAAATGCCAGAGCAACGGTATTTGAACATTTAAAATTTGTGATTTACTTTTGTTTTTTTTTTAATTTCAGACAATGGTATAATATATAGCATTTATTAGTTGTATTTCATTTTATTCACTCCTGTAAGTGAAATAACAGTAAATGTATAGTTAATTCCTTGAGTCTCAAAGGTTTGAGAAGAGTTCCTTCACTTGCTTCATTGCTAAGTAATGAGTTGTGGAGAGATACTGCGTAAGCAGTGGCAAGTGACTGTCTCACACTGCCCGTGCCGCCATAGCTCGGCTCTTGAATCCTGAAATGGGTCCGTGAGAGGCTAGGTTTTTGTAACATGGTAAGACATTTTTACTAAAAATACAGATTATCATTTACTTTATTGTGATCATTTCTTAAAGTTAGTTTTTTTTCTTTCTGTGGCATATGCATAAGATTAATTCCATTCTGTATTTTCCCAATGATTATTAAATAGGAATTTTTATATTGTATTCAAGAAGTGTGCTTATTAAATTCTTTCTTGGTGTTTTGCTTGTAAATTAATTGACTTTTGACACACTAGTGAAAAATGAGTGATAAAGGGAAATCAATTTGTTAACAATAGTATTTCTTTTTAATCTAAAGCACAAAGAAAGTCAGGAATATAACCCTTCTGTAAGATATATACAACTTGGTATTGGTTGTTAAATTTTAGTCTTGTTATTCCAGTTGATGAAAAATTCTTTTTAAAAACACTGAAATAATACAGATTTTTCTTCATTGTCAGCAGGAAGAGAGTGTCTGAAACGAAGAATAGGTATGGTAGTTTTCTTAGATTATGTACATCATATGAGGCAAGACACTATAAAAACATATACCAGGTGTAAAATATCCTTGGAAGTACTCGAGACACCAAGTACACTGAGAAGTTGGCAAAAACTAGTAATATTCAATTCTTGAAGTGGTTTCTTCCTGTACATTTAAATATTCTGTTAACTTACAAAGATTGTATTTGATGTACATTGTGTTAGCATGCTATAAATGTCAGAAAGTTCCCATTTGCAGTATACTTTAACTTGGAAAAATACAGAAATGAAGTATAATTTGTATGACAATAATTATAGCTTAGACTTCTGTAAACAGTTTGCTGGATAAATGGTTAATTCTATTAGTTCAAATTTGAATCTTTGATTGCTACTATTTTGCACATTTGATTACACATATATATTTATTCATATTTTACCTTTCATATACTTTCAACATTTTGCTATCAGAATGTTCTGACTGACAGTTGCCTTGAAAAGTTTATGATTGCTTCATGTTCCTCTACGATATTTACTTCAGATTTAGATCACCTTTATTATAAACATTAATTTTAGAATCTCCTGAGTTAAGTGTTAAAGTAGTGATGTATAACACTTTGCCATTCGTCTTTGAAAGAAATGTTTTAATATTTATATACACTGTGAATCTGCTTGCCCTACAGATGTGATGAATGCAGACTGTGCTACCATTTTGGCTGTTTAGATCCTCCTTTGAAAAAATCTCCTAAACAAACAGGCTATGGATGGATATGTCAGGAATGTGATTCTTCATCTTCTAAGGTAAGGCCGAAAGTCTTGAAGAAAAAAGGCTGGGTCCTTTCTGTTGACAACTTTTCTGTATCACAACATCAACTTTCTAATTTTAAAAATGAAAAAGAAAACTATATTCAATGATACAAATTTCCTCTATAGAATATTTAGCTGTTTTGTATGTTCTTTGAATTACTATAGTGTATTAAATAATTTATAGTAGATTAATGTCTCTGCTAATTGATTATTTTAAGGCCATAGCAGGAAAAATTATTATTAGGCAAAGGACTTAAGAGTAGATTCCTATTTTATTTTGGAGATGATTTGACCTTAAGATAAAATAAATTTATTAGTGTTATTTTGTAGACTCCTATAAAAAAATCTAATTTAACCTAGATTTATTTTAGCTAAATATAAAAGATAAAATTCAAACAAGTTCAGTAGTGTATCTTCTAAAATAAACTCTGAATTTCTTCTTCAAAATATCAATATTACCTTAAATTATGGCAGTTTATAGTTTTATTTTTTATTTGCTTCTTTACTGTGAGAGAAAGAATAACCAGATTCTTGGTACTTGTACAAATTTTACAGAAGTCCTGAATATATTTGAATGAGGACATTCTGATCAGCTGTGCGTTACCAATATTATTATTTCATGCAAAGATAATGAAAGTAAATGCTTTTTGTAGTATGACAGCTATACTTTTTAAAAAATTGAATCAATACAGGTGAACCTCTCAAGTTATCAAACCAGATATTCTTGGGTAGTCAAGATTTCTTCTAGCTTGACACAGAGGCCTTCTGAAACTTTTGTCGTAAGGTTCACATTTTTGGTTACTTATGGATAGTATTATCATTAGTTAATGCTGTGTGCCTAGAAAAGCTATGTATTTTCTTCTGACCTATGATTTGTGCTTCCCCTGCATTTCTACTTCCATCTACTTACTCAAACCAAATGCCCAGCATCATTCAGAAGCCTCCTCATCCTTATTTGACATAGTGAATCACCTCCGAGTCTTATAAGTGCTGCCTTCCCTGCTGGTGCCTGAATCTAGTGCGTTAGTATCTCGTTCTATTCCAGTCCCTTGTGCTGTAGACAGCATCTGAAGAGCTGCCCAGACGGACTGCTCTTTTATTGTTCCTTTCACTAGGGACCTCCAAATGAGGTGTGAAACAAAGTGACATTTAACTTAATTCTGTATGGCATTCTATTTTAATGTCCATGTCTGAATATGTTTTATAATGTGCATAAAAAGCTTGAAATATTTCTAGACTCTGAAATGACGTTTATAAAAATACAATTAACTTTTATACCAATTTTATCACAACTGACTTAGTTTTGGTAGGTTTACTTGCCTTATTGTATAGTAGTGAGAGTTTCTGTATGTGGGATTTAGTACTAAAGAATAGGTACATAAATTAATTGACAAATATACTTTATGTTTTTAAAATTGGTGAATAAATTATTTCACGAATATGCTTAAATAGCAAAGTAGTCTTTTTAAAGATACGATCACATCCCTGTCTTAAATCTTGTAGTGTTTAAATATTGTCCTGTATTTACAAATTTAACCATCAAAAATAAGAATGCTTATATTGATGCATTCCCATCTAATCCTTAGTTTTACAAACTTTCCATCTCAGTAATGCTCTTTATTACAAATTGTCTTGATAGGATCATATATTGAACTTTGTTTTTATATTTTCTTGTCACTAGTTATGGACTCTTCCTAAATTTTCCTTAACTCTCATACTTACCCATTTTTATTAAACATAGAGCATTTATTTTATATCATGAGGCTTACTAATGTTTTCTTTGTATATGCCTCTTCACTAAGAATATCACAGATACAGGGCTGGGGAGGTGGCTCAATAGGTAGAGTGCATTGCTGTGCAGGTAAGCACAGGGACACAAGCTCAGACCACCGGAATCTGTAGAAAGCCTATCACTGGCAGAGCGAGAGACTGGCCAGACATTCTAACCAAAATAGTGAGTTCTGGAGTTCATGAGAAAGTCTGAGTGGTAGGGAAAGATTGATGACATCAAACTCTGGGCTCGGCAGGTACACACATAGGTAAGTACACGCACTTACATGTATGATGTTGTGTTCTTAACAGTATTGCTCAGTCCTTCCCAGGCCATCCTTGATAGAGATCTCAACAGCTTTGTCTACTACGAACCCAAAATGAAGTGAATGGATCTGACATGGTTTTTTAAATTTTATTGATTTTGTTGAGCTCTCCATTTTTCTCTGCTCCCCTCCCATCCTCTCCTCTCTCCTCCAGCCCTCTCCCATGGTCCCCATGCTCCCAATTTACTCAGATCTTGTCATTTTCTAGTTCCCATGTAGATTAGATCCATGTATGTCTGTCTTAGAAATATTTATTATATAGTAACTTTTCTGGGTCTTATTATTCACTGGCCCCACTGCAGATTGAGGTACAAGTACAGTGACTGTGTCTGTTACTTTCCTGTCTTTTCTTTTATTATTATTATTATTATTAAAATTTTCCACCTCCTCCCTGCCTCTCATTTCCCTCACTTTCCCCCCACTCCTCTCCCCCTCCCTCTCCAGTCCAAAGAGCAGTCAGGGTTCCCTGCCCTGTGGGAAGTCCAAGGTCTTTCCCCCTCCATCCAAGTCTAGGAAGGTGAGCATCCAAACAGGCTAGGCTCCCACAAAGCCAGAACATGAAGTAGGATCAAAATCCAGTGCCATTGTCCTTGGTTTCTCATCAGCCCTCATTGTCCGCCATGTTCAGAGAGTCAGGTTTTATCCCATGCTTTTTCAGTCACAGTCCAGCTGGCCTTGGTGAGCTCCCAATAGATCAGTTCCACTGTCACAGTGGGTGGGTGCACCCCTCACAGTCCTGACTTCCTTGCTCATGTTCTCCCTCCATCTGCTCCCCATTGGGACCTTGAGAGCTCAGTCCGATGCTCCAGTGTGGGTCTCTGTCTCTATCTCCATCCATCTCCAGATGAAGGTTCTAAGGTGATATGGAAGATATTCATCAGTATGGCTATAGGATAGGGTCATTTCAGGTTCTCTGTCCTCAGCTGCCCCAGGAACTAACTGGGGACATCGCCCTTGACACCTGGGAGCCCCTCTAGAGTCAAGTCTCTTGCCAACTTTAAGATGACTCCCTTAATTAGGATACATACTTCCCTGCTCCCATATCCACCCTTCCTTTATCCCAACCATCCCGTTCCCCCAAGCTCCCCCCATCCTCCCCTTCTCACTTTTCTCTCCCTATTTTCCCTTACCCCCATCCCACCCCACCCCCAAGTTCCCAATTTTTGCCTGGCAATCTTGTTTACTTCCAATATCCAGGAGGATAACTATATGTTTTTCTTTGGGTTCACCTTTTCATCCTTTTTCCAATTCTTTTTTTAGAAGCAGCTGTAGAGTTTACATGACAGGTCACTATCTGTTTACCATAAGATGAGCTGTCTAAGCATGGCAACTTCTCTTTCATTCACTCTTAGTTTGTCTTCCTGGTGTGCTACACTTACGCACAGTTTAAATGTGTATAACAGTAGTAAATTCTGAATTTTCATGCATAGAAATTTCTTCTAAATTTCTTATGTTAGAGCTTCTAGAACCAATATCATTACATACCTGATACAGTTGGTATTTCTTGATGGTCATTTGGAGTAGAAATGTCAAAGTAGGAAAAGTACAGTTGTTCAGATGTTTTATTTTATACATTTTTTTGCAATGAGCAATTAAAATTCTATAACTGATATATAAAAATAAAATATCAATGTATTCATTTTCAAGTGAAATAGTTTTGACATTTGTGCCTCTTTGGGAACTTAATAGAACAGTCTCCCCAAGGAGTATCTTGCTACAATACATTAAACAAGCACATTTAATTGAACTTAGTATATGGGAAATTTAATGTCTGAATTTTATGTATTGTGAAGATTTATGAAAAATATAAAATTAAAATGATATATCCTTAAAAGATCTTTTAAATTTGAAGCTTGTAACAGACCCATAAAAAGGATTTTCTAATACTTTTAACTATTCATTTGACCTCTAGAATTGCAAATGGATGCAGGTTGGATTTTAACTTTCTAACTTTAACATGGCTGAAAGAGAAATAAAACACCATTTCACCATCCTGATGTGGTTCTGGCATTTGGACAGTGATTAGACCTTACTGAATGCTCTTCACTAATATTTGCTGAGGTTTGATTTACCTCCTCACCATTCAAGATATGTAAAAATCTGTTAATGAGAGAGGGGGGGGAGAGAGAGGGAGAGAGAGAGGGAGGAGAAAAAAAAGGAGATTTTTTTTAATAAAGCAGTGTAAAATACTATTTCCTGCTTCCTACTTTGCCTTTTTACATGCCAAGTAGAGTATTTAGTTTCTTTCACAGTTTCACATTAAGTAGTATGAAGTTATGTGTAACTTTACGTACAGAAATAGTGTGGGAAGTCCTTCTGTATATGTGCTGCTTTGATTGCTTAATGAATAAATCTGCTTTGGCGAGTGGCTTAGCAGAATAGAGCTAGGCAGGAAAACTAAACTGAATACTGGGAGAAAGAAGGCAGAGTCAGAGAGATGCCATGAAGCCATCAGAGGAGAAAGACACCAGCCGCCAGCCGGAACCTTGCTGGTAAGCCACAAGCCTCGTGGTAAAATATAAAACAATAGTAATGGGTTAATTTAAGAAAAAAGAGTGATCTAGAACTATGCATAAGCTAATAGGCCAAGCGATGTTGTAATTAATATAGTTTCTGTGTGATTATTTCGGTTCTTTGCAGCCAAGAACAAACAAGCAGTCTCCTTACAACACAGAAAAACATCAGTTTCTTTCTAGAGTTCAGAGGCAGTGGGAGCTATCCTTATAACTAACACATTTTAAAACTAGGACATTGGGGCTGAAGAGATGGCTCAGCAGTTAAGAGCACTGACTGCTCTTCCCTGAGGACCCGGGTTCAATTCCCAGCACCCACATGGCAGCTCACAACTGTCTGAAGATCCAGTTCCAGGGGATCTGACACCTTCACACCAATGCACAT